ATTACAGATGCAAGGAAAGCTGACAAATGCCTGCCAGACCCCTCCCCCAGTGCCTCGATAGTCAAAGCCCCTGCCAGAACATGCCTGAAAGCAGCGCACCGAGAGACAAAGACACAAAGATTCCATTTTCTCAGTGAAAATAGATTTCATGTGTAAAACACTAGTGAGAAAAAATTGAAAGCTGACACATATGTGCAATTTTAGAGAGGCAGGGCTGAATATTTCAAGAAGATTGAAATTGCATTTGATTGCATCAAAGCTTAACAAATGTTGTTTAACCTAAAAGTCTTTTCAGTCTGTAAAAAGACATTCAGTAGCAAGATATTTTATTTTTTTTAAGCACATGGTTAAAAAGAAAAAAGAATCTTGAGCTCAGTGGAGAGATGTTGATTACATACTACTGTTGCATAAAGAATTAACACTGGCTCACATCACAGGGTCTACAAAATAAAGGGGGAAAGTTAAAAAAAAAAAACCTATTGAATCAAAGGGTTCAGAAAGATAATATTAAATCCTTATGAGTATGTTTCCTATAAAAAGAATCCCCTCCCAGCAGCCCCAGGGTATCATTACTGGAGAGGCAGCGAGTGGTTTATTAGAGATTCAAACCTTGGCATCTGAGCCTTGCCAAGCATGCAAGTTTTAGCTTGTGAGCCCAGGGCCCTTGGCTTGCATAGTCCCTTCTGGCATCTAACAGTGAGGGCCGTCTGGTTGGTCTCCACACGCCAGGCAGTGTGTGGGTGCAAAGGCTCAGACTGGGAGACAAAGGAAGATCATCATTTGCTATGGAAGGTCATGCTTCATGCTTTTCTTCCTACCTAAATTCATATATGCCAGCATAACATTTAGGGATGAAAGGAGAAATATGTGAAAAAAGGAAGGCATAACAAAACGAATCAGGGAATTAACCTATAACATATCTTCAAGTGATATTATAAATAAATATACAGAGAGAAAGAGGGCGAGAGAGAGAGAGAGAGAAGGAGAAAGATGGAGAGAGAGAAGGGAGAGAGAAAGTTCGAAGTTTTGACTTAAAATGATCTTTTCATGCACGGGAAGAAGCTTCTCCCCTCTGCCTCCTTAGATTTTTAACTTTGGTGGGTGTTTGTATTTCTTTAACTTCATATACCATGCAAAGCCAATTCAGTTGTATATGAAAAGAAACTGTGTGGTCACTTTTATTTATTTTTTAAAAAAATATTATTGAAGTATAATTGACATACAATACCCTATTAGTTTCAGGTGTATGTCATAGTGGTTTTTATACATTATGAAATGATCCCCACAATAAGTTTAGTTACCATCTGTCACCATAGAAAATTATTGCAATATTATTGACTATATTCCCTATGCTGTATGTCATATCCCCATGAATTACTTATTTTGGTACTGTAAATTTATATCTCTTAATCCCCTTCACCTATTTTGCTAACCTCCTAAACCCTCCTCACTCTGGTAACCAACAAATTATCTCCTGTATCAGTGAGTCTGTTTCTGTTTTACTTTTGTTTTGTTTTTTAGATTCCACGTGTAAGTGAAATCATACAGTATATGTCTTTCTCTGTCTGACTTATTTCACTGAGCATAATATCCTAAAGGGCCATCCATGTTGTTGCAAATGGCAAGATTTTAGTCTTTTTTATGGCTGAGTCATATTCCAGTGTAGGAATATACCACAGCTTCTTTATCTGTTCGTCTGTGGATGGGCACAGCTGCTTTCTTATCTTGATTATTGTAAATAATGCTGTGATGAACAAAGGGGTACATCTCTTCAAATTGGTGCTTTTATTTTCTTTGGATACTTACCCAGGAATGGAATTGCTGGATCATATGTATTTCTATTTTCAAATTTTTTTTTAAAGATTTTATTTATTTATTTGAGAGAGAGAATGAGATAGAGCGAGAGAGCATGAGAAGGGGGAGGGTCAGAGGGAGAAGCAGACTCCCTGCCGAGCAGGGAGCCCGATGCGGGACTCGATCCCTGGACTCCAGGATCAGGACCTGAGCCGAAGGCAGTGGCTTAACCAACTGAGCCACCCAGGCACCCCTTTCTATTTTCAATTTTTTGAGGAACCTCCATATTGTTGCTGCACCAATTGACATTCTAAACAACAGTGTATGAGGATTTCCTTTTCTCCACATCCTCGCCAACCCTTGCTATCTTTTGTCTTCTTTGCAATAGGCATTCTGACAGGTGTGAGGTGATGTCTCCTTGTGGTTTTGACTTGCATTTCCCTGATGATGAGTGATGGTGAGCATCTTTTCATGTGTCTGTTGGACATCTGTATGTCTTCTTTGGAAAAAATGTCTATTCAGGTCCTCTGCCTTTTTAAAAATCAGATTGTAGAGGTTTTTTTTTTTTTTAAATATTAAGCTGTGCACATTCTTTATAATTTTGGATATTAACCTCTTATCAGTTGTATGATTTGCAAATATCTTCTCCCATTCAGTAGGTTGCCCTTTTGTTTTGTTGATGGCTTCCTTAGCTTTGCAAAAACGTTTTAGTTTGATGTAATCCCATTTGTTTATTTTCCCTTTTGTTGCCCTTGCCTGAGGAGACTGCCCCCCCACCTCAAATATTTCTATGACCAAAGAGCTCACTATGTTTTCTTCTCTCTCAAATTGAGCCTGCTTACAATCCCGTTCCAATCCTTTCAACAGCATGCTGTTCTTAATAGATAGGTTCAATATTTGCAGAATATTTGGAATGGGCTTAATATATGTTGAAAAGTGTGAGACCATTAACAGGTTAAAATGTAATTAATAGTAGCTGTCAGGGGTTAGAGACCAAGAAAGTGCACTGGGAATATTTTAATTTAAAAAAAATTACAATAAAGTTTTTAAAACTTGAGAACACATTCTGTACTCTGCCATTCCCTTTCAAGCTCCCGCAGTTCTTAAATTCCTTTAGTCAATAGGAATATCAGAGAGAGAAAGAAAAGAAACTAACAAAGTACTTCATAATCTTATAAGAGATGACTGAGAGGAAAAATGAGAATATTAGGTTAATCCTATGACCACTAAAACGTTTTATACAAACTCTTAATTTCCACAACAATATTCATGTCAGGAAACACTCCAGCTCTCCTTCCCAATCTAATCAAAATACCATACAGCATTTTGAACAAGATATTCATAACATTAATTAATCAAACTGCTATTTCCATTAGGTTATTAAAAATAACCAAAATGTACAAAGCATTCATCTATTTGCTATCAAAAGGGAGTGTTCCACATATTTGAGAGTTGGGAGCATGATTACTTATGAGTGTTCAGCCACTGTAAGTTTAGTGAGTCTCTGAGCCTCAGTTTCCCTTTGTATAATATGAGGAATTTTGTCAATCATAGGAAATTTGGGGAGGGGGGGATTAATCCACAAAGGCAGTGTTGGCCCCAAAATGCTAACATACATGTGTGTACAGTGGGAAGAGAGTGTAAAACTTTTGTTGTTTTAAAACTTTAAAGTTTAATATGAAGAGCAATCCCATGTCATTAATGGAGAAAAGAAGTCTCCGGTGAATTCAGTAAAATAAATCAGGCAAAAGCTATGCAATCAGCACACCATGGACCAGTGAATTGATGTATTTGTACACATTTCAGAATGTTTCTGTAACTTTGAATCTGATACTCTGCGATCTCAAATTTCTTAAAGTATATGTGACATATTTATATTAACTTTCTCCCCCCGTTAGTCATGTTTCTACTAAGTGGATGTGCCCGGAGTAGCTGAGTGAGCCAAAGTGAATCGGCATCAGGTCCCAAACCCCAAACAGAAAATGGCCCCCCCCTTTGGCCCCACTCCTCACTGCCAAGCCCACTGCCTTGGCCTCACAAGACTTCAGAACAACAGTGGAGGATGTGTGAAGTTTTTCAGGACACTTCCTAGCAGTGCCAGCCAACAGGGTCCCTCAGGCCTCTTCCGTTGTACTTCCTCGGCAGCCCCCAGAGCATCACCTCAGGGGCCAATGAACAAAGAAGAAAATTTTGAAAAGAAAGCATATTGTTATATGGAAGATACCGAGGAAAATATTGCTATTCTTTTAACAGAAATGCATTCTCAAAGAGAGAATACATATGTCTAACCTAAGAAGATCAACAAACTTACACATTCGAAACAGTGTTTCTTACAGTAATTTTTTTAAGCAAATACCAGGATTCCCTAATTTAAGAGTAAAAAGGAAAATAACAATGTGCTTGTCTTCATTTAGCCTAATTGAAAGGGAGAAAACCGCATCACTTAGTCACATTCAGTATTTTCTTTTTTGAAAATTCAACTGCTATCATAGACTAGAATAATGATACAGAGATAACATTGTGTTATTTAGATAAGTTAGTCTCTGTAGGGAAATTAGGTGATGAAAAACAAAGCAAATACGTTTAATATGTCTGCTAATAAAATCTAGATTTATCTATCAATTGTACTAATGGTAGGTAATATTTTAAAACCTTTTTAAACATGGGAAATACAGGGGCGCCTGGGTGGCTCAGTTGGTTAAGCGACTGTCTTCGGCTCAGGTCATGATCCTGGAGTCCCGGGATCGAGTCCCGCATCGGGCTCCCTGCTCGGCGGGGAGTCTGCTTCTCCCTCTGACCCTCCTCCCTCTCATGCTCTCTGTCTCTCATTCTCTCTCTCTCAAATAAAAAAAAAAAAATTTAAAAAAAATTTTAAAAAAATAAAAATAAATATGGGAAATACATCCAAAGGAAAACGAATCCTTATAACTAATTAGCATAGCAAAGGTAGCCAAAGCTATTTATTTTATCTCTTCAGGGGTTTCTTGTTGTTGACAAGACATTTTATGGTGGGGAAACCCAGACAGTGTTTTCTAGGGCCAAATTAGTAGCCCTAGAAGAGGAAAAATTTAGGACATGAGAAGTTGGCAGATCTTCTACGTATTGTTGGATTGGAAAACATCCCCATAAGAGGACAAAAATCAATTGTAGCTAATTTGCTTAGCAAGGCCTGAGTTTCATTTAATATCACTTTTTGTTTTATGCAGGGATCTTGGCAAAATTTGCAACGAGTCCATAAAGGAAACTGAAAGCAGTTTGATCTTCATCTTCAATGACAGTCCCACAAAAGTTAAAGAACTACATTATGTCTCCAAAGAAGAGTACAGTGGTGCCCTAAAATTAGGACATGATTAAGGTATGACATTTCTTTTAATTCAGTTGCAAGGCTTTTTTCTTTCCATAATTTCTTCTTCTTTTTCCCCAGTCTCTCTCTCTCTTCCTTTTCTTCCTCTCATTAACAGATTGTCTTTTATAATTGATGTTGTTTATTGTCCTTTCATCAAATATATGCCATATCACTTAGGCGAGCCATCCGACAGGGCACCTAAATACACATTAGAAGCTCCTGGGAGCCATGAGTCGCTTTGACCGCCTTGTCAGGGAAGTTATAATAAGCATCTTGATGCCACTGAATGCAATGCTGTATTCAAATAATAGCCTTCATCTTTGCCCTCTTTAAATATAAAAGTAAACCTTGAAGCCTTTGAAGGACCTAACCAAACAACACACATGTGAAAATGGACCAGTGAGCCTTTGGGGAAAAAAAAATCCTTATGTAAAATCTGTAAAGAATTTTAGCAGTTTTTCAAGAAAGACCTCCAGGTAAATGATGGCTGTGAATGAGACACATGACCATCTCAGTTATGAGGATCATTATTGTGGGCCCTCTGTGCCATTTTTGCTCCCCGCAGGATTTTTCTTTTCTCATCAAGTTTTCAGGGCTATCTACTGTTCTCTGTGTGTAAAGCATATTTAAGTGGTCCCACAAAGCTGCACTAATTAAAAAAACAAAACACACACACACACACACACACACAAACCCAACCAAAAAGAAAAAAAAAAAAAAAAACAACCACCAAAAAACTTTGTCAAGTGGTCAGACAGACTGGAACTAGAGGATTATAGGTAAGAGGGATAAAATGAAGGGTTGAAAGCTATAATTTCTATTTCTGTGGTGGCAACCGCATCAGCTATTGGAGTCAGGCAGTTTAAAGATATGGCTACTTAAGCATAGAGTCTGGGAAGAAGACATTTCAAAATATAACAGTAAATCAGGCCTCGAGTGAGAAAGATGCACTAAATGATGGGCATCCCTTGCTGGGTCCCTTTCCTGATTGTCCTGGCTTCCCTCTTCCCCACACCCATGTCTTCCACTTCCATTTGATTCCATCCCTGTCTTTGACAAGGCCATCTACTACTTTCTTTCTTCCCATTTTCATATAAATATATATATATATATATATGTATTTCTTAAGCCTTATATTTTAACCCTAGTTGCTTGGCCTCTGACTACCATCACATGCTCTATGCTCCTAGAAAACAGAGAACTTGTTTTAAAAAGGAGACGGTGCATCTCAAAGGGCTTCTTCATTTGGCCAGAGAACAGTTCGTTCTTGAACATGATCTGACTGTCGATTTTCAGAAAAAAACCCTCCCTAAAAATGGCTTTAAAGAATGTGTATGCACATATGGGTGTCAGGCAGTCAAATCTGTAGCTGGAGCAATTTGAAGAATGAATTATTATAGTGACAGGATCGCTTATAAAATGATGAGAAATATAGATGTCTGTCTAGCCTATGTAATATTCACTATGATTTTGGGAATTTCAGTCCACAATTTGGCCTTATCCTTATATTTTTTTATTGGAATTAACAGAATCAGAGAGTTGGTAGAAAGCACAGAGATTTTGTAATACAGTTCTCATACTGAAATGAAGAAAATGAAGCCCAGAAAATAATCTGTTCTAAGTCATTCTGCTTGTCTATAAATGCCATTGGTTTAATTTTAGTTTTGCATATATTTAGACAAAGAAAATATTTTCCCAGAAACTGGTTACAAATATTTGAGAAGAGATATAATCATTAAAATATGTATGTAGTAAAATGTAACTATCATTCAATAGTTGATAATCTATATTGAAATTGCCTGGGGATTTTATTCATATAGGAAAACTTACTTTCATTGTTAATATATCCTCTGATCTCTATATATGTATAATATGTAAACCAGCTCAAAGTATCTATATAAATGAACTTTATTTTTGTATACAAGTACAACCCCCTTTTGACTTTTTTGTGTTCTGATTATATATTACTCACAGTTCTGTAGTTTTAACCAGAACAAAAAGGAGTGCCCAGAAGAAAAGAAGGTAAGTTATTTCATAAGTTGGGTTGGAAATTCAGAAGTTCTTTTTCCATTACCAGCATTGTGTTCTTAAAAAAAAAATAAGACTCTTACTTTTTCATTTATGAGTATTCCCATAAGAGCTGGCAGAAGTTGGGGTAGGGAGGAAATCCACCATAGATACACAGCTAGACCCTATTATTAGAGGCAATTGGTTGCATCCTATAGAAAATATAGTTTGCTCTTGAAGATGGAATAGGCTTAATGTTAAAAAAAACAACAACAAGGTATTATACATACCAAAAAATATGTTTATAAAACAAAGATTTTAAATTTTTAATTATACCCCTAAGCTGGCTTTCTAGTTTTTCTAGGATATCAGGGCGTAATAAGAAAGAAAGAAAGAAAGAAAAGAAAGGAAGAAAGAAAGGAAGAAAGAAAGAAAGAAAGAAAGAAAGAAAGAAAGAAAGAAAGAAAGAAAGAAAGAAAGAGAAAGAAAGAAAGAAAGAGGGAAAAAATATTTACTCAGATTAGTGTTGGGAACATCACATAGAAATATGTGTGGTGATGTTACTAGAAATGAGTATTTTTGTAAAGTAAACAAGTAGAATGTCTGAGCTTTAAAAAGCCTGCCATACTGCCTTAAGGTTAAAAATGCAAGTCTAGATACATCTAAGAAATTGTAATTTGTTTAACTTTTTTAGTTCTAAGCATTTTCTGTTGCAAATATTTAAAAGATGGCTATGTCTTCAGTTAAAAATGATTTTGATGAAGTAGTACTACTTAGATTGTTTTCACTTTCTATAATTAAATGTACTTGCTACTTATTCAGGGCATACGTTTCAGGCCCAAATCATTGAGGACACATCTAAGTGACATAACATTTTTTTAAATTAAACAATTTTGTGACAGTTTTCAAGTTTATTTTAATTTGTGTTTTAGGGCCTTCAAATTTAGTTAAATAGCATCAAGATCTTGTCTCTATGATTGTCATAATTTAAATAATAATATGGAGCATGATAATATAATGAATACAGACTTATGGAAAAATTGCATTCCCTTAGCCAAAATGTGGGGGAAATCAGAACAAATGAGGATGAACATGATTATTTTTAACCTGGTACTTTCATAGACTAATCTATAAAAGTTGGGTTTGATATATCTTGTCTTAATGGTATATGAAGATATCTATGATTCAACATTGCAGAGATAATTAGGCTTCACGTAAAACTACCTCTTCTAGAATCTTCAGGGACAAGGAAATGCAGCTGTTTATCACCTGCCCCTTCTACAGTTAGTGCCAAAGGATCTAACTCAATGAAAATTCAAATCAGAATGCACAAAAATACGGTATTCCCAATCTGCTATTTATATTGCCAGATAAATTTTATATGCACAACAATATTTGCCCATTGTTAATTTTTATGTTGTACAATTATACTAAATTTTGAACGGCATCTTTAACAAAAGAAGCCTAGAAACATCCTTTGGCAAATAAAGGAAAAAGTCATCATGTACACTTGAGAAAACATTTTCAGAGCTATTGTAGGGATTGCTGAAAGACACATTGAAAGATGTTTAAGGCTCAAGAATATATTTCATTTAGAAGCTGGGCTGTGCTTTAGTATTTTATCAACTTCATAAAATACTTGATTGATAGTGTTTCAATCATAAAGGAGATTTAGAAAGAGAAGAAATGTAAGTGAGAATCTTGTTAGGGGCAGTAATTATATAGATAGCGAAGTGACTGCTTATTTTTTCAAGATGAAGTTTCATTTTAAGTAAATAACATTTTCAGGGAAAGAAGCTGATTAACAAAACTGAACATTCACACAAGGCAGTGCAAAAATTGAATCCCCCCATAAAAGGGGATTCAATGCTGGTCTATAATAATTAGCTGTATTTCTCCACTAAGAAGAAGAGGTCTCTTCAGATCTTGATGGCTAGTGTGGATGTGGACATTTTGAGTGTAAGAAAAGGGAATTTGATTCATGTTCCATAGTTATACGGCCATGATGGAAGGCTTTCATTTCTCCAGTGGGTATCATGGAACTTGTCTTGACTAAATAGTACTTAATTTTTCTCTCAGCCAGGGTTCCTCAACAGAGGCACTAGTGATATTTTGGACCAGATAATTCTTCGGCATAGGAGATTGTACATTGTAGCATTGTACATTGTAACACTTTTAATCAGCATCCTTGGCCTCTACTCACCAGATGTCAGTAGCATTCCTCTCTCACCACATTGATATTATCAGACATTGCCTTTGGTTGAGAGCCACATGTCTAGCCATTTTTCATTTCTTCTCTTATCTCAATTGAAAGTGAGTTATGTTGGCTTTTTGCATTATCTTTAACAGATATTTTCTATAAGGTACTCTTATGTACTAAGTGAAGAAGTGGTTTATAATGTGAATATTTCAGCAGGAAACAAAAAATTGGAATCTCAATGGTACATTCATTACTTGAAACATTAAATATTGTATTAAAAATACACAAATTGTAAGGGATATTGAATGTGAGCTCATACTTTGTGCCATACATGAAAACTTGCAATGTAAGCCAGGGAAATTAATGCAAAATATGTTTGCCTCTGATTGGACATGAAAACTTTTTTCTTGTGTATTATAGTAAAATATAGCAATACATTTTCAGAGGTAATGATAGATAATTCCAGATAATTCTTCATGGAGCTAATTATAGCAGGAGAGAGGCCCTCATTGTGCTTTCCATAAATGTTGGCTTTCTCCATGTACTAAAGCACAGTTTCCCTGGAATGGCACACAAAAGACTGAAAACAAAAGAAAAAAGTCTGCAGAGTACTGGGGAAATCATCATCAAAATGGGCTGATAGCCATTTAAAATGCGGATTATCAACGATTTTTTTAACTAACAATGAGATAGCAGAGAATTATTAACTTGATATGTCTTTGGGACTTGAGGGGTTTTTTTTTGATGGAAATATATTGATAGGAAAGGAAAAAAAAATAAGCTACATGGAAGTCTAAAAAGCAAGCCATCAAAAAAGAAATATGCAGAAAGCAAGGAATCCTAAGTTTTAGACCATAGGAAAAAAAATATGTTGATAGTATTGATCCATTGGTCTTCTAAAAACTGTGAAAGTCATTAAGCCAGTAAGTTTTAGCCTGGTTTAGCTTTAACAAAAAAAGCTATATGAATGATTTCAATATATTAAATGATGTTTTATTTAGCTTTTGTTTACAATTATAAATATATTATGAATGTGTTTGGCTTCCCCACTGAGCACCTGGGAAAACTGAGCTGATTTGCCCTTCCTTCTTGATGGCATTCATGTACTTTTTCCAAAGCTCTTTAAGATCGCCTACTTAAAGACCCTCTACTAATGATATGGAGGCATTAAAATTTAAATATAACCAATATTTATTTTTTATTATATTTTTCAGACTTGAGATTTAAAAAAAAAATCTCTGGACGCATGAAAGATAAAATAACAGGTTTGCCTTTTAAAGACCTTGAGTTGTACACTAAGAATAGATATGGGCTGAGTTCCTTTCTAGCATGAATTGAATTATCACTGAACATATAGCCATGAATCTATAATGCCAAGAGTTAGACATAAAACTTGGAAAGCTTATAGTTCCAACTTGTAGTAACAAAACTATAAGATAGAGTTATGCATATAGCTTTATCTTTCTTTATGAAGAACTCAGAGTAACTGTTTTGTTTTTGTTTTTTTTTTATCAACAGTGAAGTCTTTCCCTGGTAACATATAAACAGAAAAATGGATATGAGGACTTATCATTGTTACTGAATTTTAAAAGTAATAAAGCATTTTTACAGAAAATATGTGGAAATTGAAAATACAATTTCCTTTACCAAAGCACTACGTCAGTCTTTCTTGCAACTTAATTACTAAAGGATGACTTTGATTATCACACATTTTCTAGGTCAAAATTTCCCAAACTTCTGCTATATCAGAATTACTTGGAAGGCGTGTTAAAATATAGATTGCTGGGTTTCAAGCCCAGGGTTTCTGATTCAATAGGCAAGGCCTGAGAGCTGCATTTCTTGCAAGTGCTCAGGTAATCCAGGCCCAGAAAGGCCCATGGCTCTAGACACATGTTTAATTTCTGATCTAGCTTCTTAGTGTGCTTAGTAACTTTCTCTTTATTGAAAATGGGAAAGGCTGCTTAAAGGAGTTGTATAAATTTCAGTTTACTCATCTGCAGTAGACCAAATCAGCTTTGTCACTGGGAAGAATGACTTATGACAGTGGATGTTTTTAATAAAAGATTCTTCACACAGCATTGAAAGACAGGAAACCTTAAAAGGAAAAGAAAACTGATAAAACTACGCCCAAACAGGGATTTAAATTGCTAAAAACCTTTTTTTTTAAAAAAAAAAAATACTGCCTGCTTACAAAGTAAAAGTTCATTTTCCCACACTAGAAAACACTTAGTTATCAATATTTTGTTCATATTTTTTCCTTAGTCATCTTTTTTCCACTTGCCAGAAAAGAATTAATCATTCTCACCACTCACTGTCCCCCCCCAAAGTATACAATTGCTCTTGCCCTTACATATTTTACAAGTTAGAAATGTACAGCATGACCCTACTAATTCAAGACTTTTATTTAAACTTTGGCAAGGTTCTATTAAATTTAAGATGTCATTAAACTACAGGCCATCTATTACATTGAATAAATTATTCAGGATTCAAAACAATCTTTTCAAAGGTATGCAGGGCATCACCTAAGTTATACATGCTGTGCACTGCACAGCTTCAGGAGGCACCATTGATCTAGACGATGATGTAAATGGTACTCTCTGGAATTGTGCAACCAGGTGTTCCTTAGTCAGAAATAATAGGCCAGGTTTAATAAGACAGACATAAAGTTCTTGTCTTAACTCCAAAATTCTTGGAGAATGGAGGAGACATGGCAGAAGAATTGCACATGTGATTTATGTCTGATTTAGTTGACTGCTGTTAGCTCAATGTGAGTCAATAATAATCTACACCTGCCCACAAAAACCATGAAAAGCTTAGTGTTTCAGTGGGTCAGGTTTCTGGTGTGAGGGAAAGGAGGAGTCTCTTAGCTTCGTAGCTGGTAGAATGAATCCAGAGTTGACCACTTCTCAGAAACTATTTTCAATCCTGCCTTGTTTGTAGGTAAACCAAGGTACCAACTGCTAATGTTATTTACAAAGAGCACTAAACAGATGTTCCACACTCAGCGTAATAACTGAGAACCTTAGACAGAAAAGCAAGAAACTGTTGAATTTTTTTCAATTAATTTCAGTGACCTGTGAACAAATATGTACTGGTTTTGCCAGTGAGGTATGCCAAAATAGCACCTTGATCCTGACTTTGGAATAAAAGTTTATGGAGTTTTTTGATAACTTCTAGCCTTTGACAACACAGCAGGGGAAGCTGAGAAAGGAGTTATTTTTAGCTGAATACTGGAAAATCATCCAGTTTCCTCTGCTCAATCACTAATAATCACAGACAGCCTTAAATAGAGTTGTTGATTAATTAATCTGCGTCCAAACATTTTATTTTTTTCTTAATGCTGTCGTTCAGGAACACTTGCTGTTAAACCTCGTCGTCTGGTTCTTCTCCTTAGAAGACCAACGTTAGCTGATAATGCCTATTAACACTTTACAGATGCTTTATAAAACCAGCGATATAATGCTTTGAGAGTGCCCACTCTTTATTTCCCACCCATTTTAATAATTCTGGCCCATCCTTTTCCACAGAAGCAAATGTACAAATGTGGAGACACTTCCGCATGAAGACCGAGTTCATAATGTGCATATCCAAAGCATCGACACTGATGCCGTATCCATGGTTCTCTAAGGGGAGGGTAATCTGTGATAACAAAATTGTATCCCTTCCTTCCTGCAATTACCTCACTATCCTTACAGCCTTGACATCTGGAAACCCACTGCTACAGTAGCAGCTGTGATTCCTGTTCTACAGCAGGAAGTTGACTACACATTCCAAAGCGCCCTCATTGTGATATTTTCTGGCTGCTTAAGGAGCTTGGATAGAGGAGAACACACTATTCTATACCAACCGCAGTTTGGAACCATACAACAAAGTGTATCTTGTCACAATCTGAACCACTTATACATATGGAAGTTTGTCTTTTTCTTCACGACAGATGACTGTTCATTGTGGTCATAGTCCAAAGTTAGCCATGTTAGACATTGCACACTTTATTAGGGAATTAAACCTGATTTTGTTCATAATTGACTATTTTCCGTAGTTTATTTGGTGGTTTCACCTCTGCCATAATTTTCTCAAGTAATCAGCATGGAAGAAGGCTTATCCAAAGACATGCTTCTATCTAAATACTTGGAAGAGAACTGATTAATTTAAGTTAGAAATTGTATTAGTTAGTATTAGAATAGCATTAGAGTATTAGAATAGTATTGTGAGAATCATTATGCCTTGCATTTGCTCACATAGGGCCTCACTTAACAGAGATTTTCAGATCCTTATCAATCTGCTAGAAATCAAGAGATCTCCAAAAGTAGTGCAGAATTATTAGTATTGGGCAAGCACAGTTGTACTTTATCTTCACTAAACGTCTGAAACTATTTTGTGTTTCTGAGCCAGTAAAATTATAATATTGTTTATTCAGAATGCTTTTATTCCTTAAAAAGAATCAAAAGAAGTAACTACTGTGTTGTTTTACTGTTAATTTATCTTTAAAATGGCTACAAATAATAGTTTTCTTCATTATAAAAGCATTAGTGCTTTTTTACTCATCAAATTAAGAATGAAATGGATTTTAGTAACACCCTACAATTACCTTATTAATCAAAATTATTACCAGTTATCTCCATGAAGCTAAACTGGTTTGCTGCAGAACAGGTTGAGGACTGCTGTGATTCAGAGCATAACTCTGCAAAAATATACTGATGTGATTTTTATTTAATTTACAAATTTTACTAAAGTTTTCCTCTTTCCTCTATTTCCCCCAAGATATAACAATATCCCTCATTGTATATTTTTATTTGCCTTAAATCTCCAATTTAATTTAGTTTTTCTTTTTTGCTTAATTATTTCATCTGGAATTTTATACTCATAAGTGATGAAATCTCAATCTCTCATAATTAAATAGTTCATTTAAAATAATTATTTATGTCTTCTATTCTAGTGACTGTAATCTCTGATATTCCCTTCTGGTTAGAAATATTTTTATGCTGGATTTATAATAAATGTCCTGTGATACTGATTCTGTGTATGCTTAAGCATTTGTCAGTTTTATCCAACTGTTCCTGTGATAACCAGAAGTTATTGTGCCTTCTAGTATTTTAATATTCCAATGTATGCTGAGTGTTTAAATAGCCATAAAAGCAATATTTGTTTGCATAGTTATTGGTTTGTTTACCTTCACTGCTCCAGAAAATCTTGCTAGGCAATCTGCCTAGGGCTGATACTTATAACCATTAGCAATTATGGATTCCAGAAAGTTGTTGACATGATTTTTTTAAAAAAACATTTCAAAATCAGATACAAAATATACAGTGTATTCCTAGGGTAGTTTTTTGTTGCCATTCATGCTCTTTCCCTTCTTGTTATCTTAGCTATAATTCACTTTTCATCAAGGTGCATTGAGTAATAGGAAATTCTGTATCAACTTTGGGTTCTTCCTAGACATTCATAGGCAGATGCATTATTTTCAAAATTAATAAAGCAAAATTATTTTTATATGATGGTGTTTTTACACATCATTTGTGTTTTGCAGGGGTTTGGGTAATATGCCAGTGATGTACTTTTCATTGTCAAGGAATCCATCTACACAAAAGAGGCGCGGGTGCACCATCCAGCAGGTGGGGACTTCTGTCATCTGACATATGTATTGAGCTCTGGGGGAGATACAAAGAAGAATGCATAGGACACTGCTCTCAGGGAGGTTACACTTTAGAGTCTGTTCTAATACTATGCCACCGATGGGCAACAACAAAAGCTAGGCAAAGACTTTTTAACAGAAACCTCTCCATTCATCCCCACACTGGGACAGGCAACAAAAGAAGCCTCCGTTTCTGAAATATTTAGAAGAACAGCATTAATGAAGAGTTCAGTTACAAGCTTTGGTTGTGATTTTGTTTGCTTGTTGATGGGTGTTTTGCAGAAAAGCCTGACGTGCTTGAGTTGTCCTTTGAGCATGATCTGCTCTAGAAATAGTGCTGAATAAGCTTTTTCCTTTTCTTTTCATTTTTTAAATAACTTAATTTTCTAAAAAAACCTGTCAGTCAGAAAGTTGACTTTTAGAATTTTGTTATGTCATGATAGAACAAAATGTATCAAGGAAGAAAAATAAATAAATACTATTTGTGCGTATGACGTTTCACCTTTAAACTATTTCCAACCTGACCAGTAATTTATTATCAAGATTTTAGCAGTTTATTGTCAAGAGAGTAAAATTTGACAGAATAAAAATATGGTTTTTGGCCTTTAAATATACTACTTCAGTCATCCCCAAAGTTTCACCTAGAAAAGAAACTGGAAATAGTTCCTAAACGTAAGAATAGAGAATAGAAATAAACGATATTTATTTAACATTAGATTCAATCTTGGCAAAAAATATTCTTAACTTGGGATCTATTTTTTAAAATGATCTCTCATTTTTTAAAATTAAAAGAATCAAAATGTAAATGCTTAAGACCTAAAGTTTACTGGATTCTGGAAACTATCACTGGCATGCTGTGGTCTAAACACAATATTTGTTTTTGACATAAATTTACAATGAGCTATCAAGACTATGTGCAAATCACAATGAGTGATTCGTTTTGTCAGATTTTCCAAAGAACAAGACATAATGAATCTATTATGAACATCTCCCAGATCATATTTCCCCTTAAAATGTAACATACACATTTAGAATTTAAAGCTAAAAACGTGTTAACATATCACAAGTTTTCAGTAATTAAGAGACTTGGTCAGGAGAGAATTCAGTGTGATTTTGCAAATGGGGTTGCAGCATAAATTTTATTACAGATTATTAGCTAGTGTGGTTCCTCACGAAGGTCAAATGTATGTTTATGTTCTGTGAGTCTTCTAAGCAAAATATGTCCTTACTCTTTAAGAAACATGTATAGAAGAAGAGAAGAAAACAGCAATGTTCTTAATTCCTAAGATACAAACCCCAGTAAACTGTACACATCAAGACACTTGGAATTAGAGTCTAGTCACTTTAAACCCAGATGTGTGTATTTTGAGCACATTTTTTTGAGCACTACATAGTCCTGAAGTAACCTAAAATAACAATGAAAGAAAACTAAGCTCTGCTGATAAAATACACTTTACTTTTTATGTGGTGTTAACAAAATGACTTAGATGGAAAATGAAATCTGTCTTAGCTTAAGACAGAAGCACAAAGACATTTCCCTTCTGGACAACAGACTTTGGCATTGAAAGATCAAAGGAACAATTTTATCTGCATTGTGACTACAGACCAAAAAATTTTACAGTATTCCTGTCTCCATGCTAGAGCTTATGTGTCTTTAATGGCATTTAAATTATAGCCCTTCAGCAGTCAAGCAGTCAAAACACCACGTCATCTGATGAGACACCATATTATAATCTGTCAGTATGTCTCATTTAAAAATTCTCCTATACTGTACTTGCCCTCATTTTTCACTTCTGCAAGAAAAATGGAGCAAATTGTTTTTTAAACTGGGTTTATGAGTTGACCTAATCAAGCTAGACAAAAGACATACTTTGGTTTATATTAACTTAATTAACTTAAACCAATTTGTAGATTTTTTTTTCTTTTTATTGTGATAACCCCTCCACATTTTTTGCTTGTTTGTTTTTAGGGTTTTAATCTTTCTTACATATGAAATGATACATGGTTTATTATAGACAAATATTAAATGAAAATCAAGAATGTGTGTCCATTAGAGAATAATAGCTAAAATACTTTGTTCTTAAAGCAAAGTATTTTATGTTAAGCTAATATATAATAGAGGGATTATTATATATAAATGGAAGGAGCTGTTTTCTGAATTTTTGTGTATCATACAATATAGATGGTGTTTCAAATGTCACTGGAGAAACAAGTTTCGAATGTGTTCCTTTAAAATAATGTTTATTGTAGTGATTTAGCAATCAAAACTTTCTGAAAATGAGTATTTCACTTAGAACATTCCTGCAGATAGGAAAATAAGATGTTACATTTTCTACAGAAACAGTGAGTTTTTTTCTCAAAAGTGTAAAAATTTTAAGAATTTTATTAAAAAGATATCAGCAAGAATATGAAATCAATTATCTTATACCTTAATACTATCCAATATTACATATATTTATAAATGGTTATAAGAGATATTTAAAAAATAAAATTTATTTTGTCTAGAAACATGTTAGATATGTAACTGATAGATAACTTTGTTTCCATGTTTCAAAAATATAATGTGGGAATTCATGGATTTTCAAGTAGATTTACCTAAGTTTTTAAAATAATGTTTTTAAATCATATTAAGATTGGGATACGAGATGCTTGTTGACAATAAGTGATTTTAACGTGCGCATGGGAGGCATTTATTTTTTTTTAAATGAAAGTGACACTACCTTAGATAAGCTTCAACTGAAAATATTTCTATCATATTATGTCCATCTGTTTTGGAAAGAGCCAACCATTACAAGTAAATTGATTCTTAAATTTTCAAACAATTTTGAACAACTTTTATTGCTAATAGTTTAGTGTAGAAAATCACAGACAAGGCACCTTGGAGGCTCAGATGGTTAAGCGTCTGCCTTCGGCTCAGGTCATGATCCCAGGGTCCTGGGATCGAGTCCCACATCGGGCTCCCGGCTCAGCGGGGAGCCTGCTTCTCCCTCTGACCCTCTCCCCTCTCATGCTGTTTCTCTCTCGCTCGCTCTCTAAAAAATAAATAAAATCTTAAAAAAAAAAAAATCACAGACAAGTATGCTGTGTGCTACATATTGAGTAGGAATGATGGGAATCACCAGACATACAGTAGGTTTGAGGAGTTAGGCCTAGAAATGCCAGGGTCCTTCAACATATTTTACTTACCTGAGGAACTGCAGAAGATATTTACTGAGCTTGGGACAATTTAATATATCACTTTTTCATGGAATCAGGATTGGATGTCTCCACACTTAGTTGACATTTGACGAGAAATCATGACAAGTATTTTATTTTCAGAAGTTGATGTAGCTAAATGGGGCCTTATAGTGCAATATTTTGATTTAAAATATGTATTTTTTTTCCTGAGGTAGCAAAAAAATAGTGATTTTTAGGGATGAAAGAATAGAGTAGAATAAAAAATTTTCCATGTATGGAAAATAGTTGATCTTCTATCCCCACTCTCTTCTATCCTAAAACCCAAGATATATCCTAGAATTATTTCTGGGAGTCTATTATTTGATAAATACAAAAAATTATATGCAATACAGTGAAAACTTATAAATCTATTACCCAGTTTAAGAACTAGAATGGTATCGAAAGTGTTTCTTATTCCTTCTCTCCCTTCTTCCCCAGAAGCTACAGTTATCAAGGCCATTGCATACAAAGTTGTGTGAAGTGTGTACTTAACAAATGTACAAGATGTGCACTTTCATATCCAGCTGGGCCTGATATGAATGATGCCCTTTGAAGTGTGCAGTGTAACCTACACAGATTTTCTCAGTGGCTCTGCCACTTTCAAGACTTGTTTTGGGATTATCTTTTTATGTATGTATGATAGTTTCGCTTGTTTAAAGCTTTGCAAAAATGACATTTTCTAATAGCCTTACTAGTACTAGCTTTTTTCACTAAATATTACGTTGCTAAGGGTCATGGACATTGTTGCCTATAATTATATGCTTGTTTACTTCACCACTATATAGTATTCAATTGTGCAATACCCTCAATTTCTTTTTCTCTTCTCTTCTTTGACATTTGAGTTATTGCCTGCTTTGCAGTTAAACATGCTGTTGCTATAAATATCCTTGCATATGTCCTTTGGTGCACATGGGCAAGACATGTTCTAATGGGCTAGAATAGGAATTTTGGAATCTTAAAGCTTATGGATGGAGTAAGGGTGTATGTGAAAAGTAAAAATTTAAAAGCTCTGATGAGGGTATATAAAGAATATTATGATACTCGGTTACATAAGACTTTCTTTAAAAGACCCAATTGTAAATACTTGCAGCATTTGTATGAGTACTATTTGTGTATAGACCTCAGTTCCATTTATAGGGAGCTATTTGGATGGCTCTATAAAATGCCTGCCTTGCTAAATCAATCAATCATTCTAGTCCAAACCCATTAGCCAGAAGAAGAAGCAAACCCAGAAGCCATTTTGGTTATCTTAACATGGATTAAATGAATTTATTTTAAACTCAGAAAATGGGGATTAAAATGAGATGATTCAGCCAAAGCAAAAATGATCAGTTTTACTCTCCTTTCCACATCCCATTCAGATTATTTTGGGAAATACTGAATACACACCAAAAACTGAAGATCGTGATTACGATTCTGAGGCAGGAAAATGTACCGACAATCATTGGATAGGGAGATATTTTTATGATGTAAAATATATATAACCTAAACTTTAGACCATTTTTAAGTGCACAGTTCAGTGGCGTCAAATACGTCAAAATCATTGTGCAGCCATCACCACTATCCATCTCCAGAACATTTTTTCATCTTCCTAAACTGAAACTCCATACCCATTAAACAGTAAGTCTGCATTCCATCCTTCTCCTCTCTGGCCCTGGCAACCATCATTCTACCTTCTATCTCTATGAACTTGACTACTCTACGTACCTCAAGTGGCATCATATCGTGTTTGCCTTCTTGTGATTGGCTTATTTTACTTAGCAT